CACAATAGATTTTTTCATTTATTCTGTCTGGTTCCAACAGTGTAAACAACTTTGTAGAATGATGCAAACAACTAACAAATTAGCTTTGATACATAACAATATATTAAATTGTAGAAAAACAGACAACATTAGATAAATTAAACGATACTTAATAAGCTTATCTTTGTTTACCAAAGATATATTTATTTCAGAGAAGTTAACGCTGACTCCAAGAATAGAAAATATACTTCTTAAATGCATAAGTAAGCATTTTTTTATATGATTAAAGATAATTTGATGAAAAAATTCTCAATTTCATCATGAAATTGTGTGTTTTGTTACTATATTTATACAGTAATCATTATATATGATATATATATATATATATATATATATATATATATATATATATATATATATATATATATATATATATATAAATTGATGGATTTTGATTTCCAGAAAACAGCTGTTGTTTGCAGTCTAAATCAGAATCAGAATTATAACTTTAGGGCATATTTTACAGATCTTCCAAGAAAAATTGTAATTTTTCTTGGGGACCCGTTACTGCCATGGGGTGCTAAGTAGTCACTTAATCCACCGCTGCGTTCAGCACCTGAGAACACAATTAATGATGTGTAGAAAGTTTCTTTACAGAAATATACTCCAGACACTAAATTTGGGAACATTTATTTAAAAATAGTGTAAAAAAATTTCCAAAATTGCCAATATAAAAAATAAATAAAAGGACATGAAATAATACAAAGAAACATGAATGTAAATGAACAAGATCAATTTCATTCTGTTAATATATTTCCCAATGAGAATATTACTAATAACCATAATTAATGTACCAGCTTGATCATTAATGGCAGAAAATAATTAATTGTATCTTTGAATTCAAAATCAGTTAATTCAATTCAATTCAGTTTATTTATATAGCGCCAATTAACAACACATGTCATCTCAAGGCACTTTACAGTTCAACCAGATCATACAGTCAAATTGATTCAAAGTTTTCTAACTAAGGAAAACCAATTGATTGCATTGATTCATTGACTTGAAGGCAATCCCTCACACTAAAGCATGCTTGAGGTGACAGTAGAGAGGAAAAACTCCCTTTTAACAGGAAGAAACCTCCAGCAGAACCAGGCTCAGTGTGAGCGGCCATCTGCTGAGGCCGACTGGGGTTCAAGGAGACAGAAGCAGAGACACAAAAAGCAGCTGTAAAAGGCGGCCCCATCCAGGAAACACACAGCCAGGCAGACGAGCTCCGAGCCAGCTCCCATGTCAGAGGATGAAGAGAGCACATCTTGCCAGTCACAGACAGAGAAACAGGACTACACTGGAAAACAGGCCGATCTCCAGCATCTATAAACAAAGGTGTTGATGGATACAGCACAGCTGATATTTCTCTCCAGGATGGAGTCACAGCCAAACAGGAACAGATGAGGCAAAGCTACAACAATAAATGTATTAACTTTAAATTGTTAATCAAAAGCAACACTTAATAGGGTCTTATGAACAGTTTGTACTGAAACTGAAATCTTTATTACAATGCAAATTGTAGTTCACAATAAAGATAAATTGATTGATTAATTAACTGATTGATTGATTGATCTGGTTGAATTAATCAAGGATGCTTTGAGTGATTTTATCTTCTTCAGTTGTTTTACACAGCCAAAGAGTTTGGATAAACCTCAGACTCCAAAAACATCAACTTTGGTTCAACAAGCATGCCGCTACAGGTAAAACACAGCGAAATTCACAATATGAGGGATCATTTTATTTGAAAGCTCCTTTTGACCATTTCATGAGTCATATTTTTGTTTTTTCTGCCTGTCTTTGTGGTGAGTGGTTTCAGGAAATAAAAGGCCTCTGTGAAGAAATGCTCCACCAATCGGGAAAGGGAAAAGGGTTGCCGAAAATCTAAATGAAGACTACAAAAGACTGGACTTTAGGTTCAAAATCACGTTTGCGAAACAGACTTACAAGTGAAAAATGCTAGAGAATATTTCTGCTCTGAGATCATCAGCAAAAACATCACCAAGGTCTTATTTGCCACAATTGACAGGCTAACAAACCCAACTGTGACTGTAGCCTTTGGACGCCGCTCTACGAGGGGCTGCAACACGTTTTCTAATTTAATCCCTGAACAAACCCAAAGGGTTAGAGGGGCAGTCTCTACTTCCATATCAAGTCCAGTATCAAAGTTGTCTACATCTATCACTCGCATTGAAAGAAATCCCCTATTTCACCAAACAAAAGGCCCTCCTATTCAATACCGACACGCTCCTCCTAATTCAGATCTTAAAGGAAAAGTATGGCTCATTTTCAGAATTCAAACTCCTGAAAGTATTTTAAATATGAAATTATTACATACTGTTCAA